GGAACACCCAGCAACCTCCTCACAGCAAAGACTGAGTTGTTATTACAGCCCTCCCATCTTACCCAGTCCCTCTACTCGTGCCCAGCCACTCAAACAAAACCCAAGATGGATATGCTTGGTTTAGGTCACATTAGGAAAAGCTGGTTTTGTTTGCTGTCAGTTCTTCTTCTTTTCATTGGATTTTCTCAAGTCTAATTATACATTAACACAAAATTTTCTTAAACATATGCCTGTACCCTCCATGAAGTGTGTTGCCCTTTTGGTCAATTGCTCCTCTAAAGAAACACAGCAGTAACTCAAAAGGAATGATTTTGGACTGTAAATATTTGCAAATTTTTACACTTCAGCCTTTCATACTTATTTCATGTAAACAGAAATAGTGGACCTCTCCAAAAGCTGTTTCTGTTTTGGGAATAAGTATCTCTCTGCACTTGTCCATGCCAAGTATTTTGAGATGCCTATTGATTCCAGATGGATCCACAGTGCTGATCCCCAGGACCAACAGCCAGAAGATGATTCATCACTTCGTAAAGTTCAGTACAGCACCCATGTTTACAAGTGAAAGTACACTTTTAAGATGACAGAATTATGCCAACATTTTACATATTTAATTATGTTAAACGTGCACCAATCTTAGCTTTATGTCTCACATCACTGCTACTCTTTATTCAGTCACAAACCTTTCCCAAAATATTAAGGGGGGGGAAAAAAAAGCAATACTGAGAAATCTAGACAAAGTTATTTTCTGAAATACAAGAAGCCGTTTAAGATATAAAGTAGTCCTCAAGTTTTCAGTGTACAGGTGAAAAAAAATTGAAAGGCATAATTTTTTTTAATAAAAAATAAACTTGCATAAGCATTCAAACAAAAACATTTCAGTATTTGTAATAAGTTTGTTCTTACAAATCACCCACACTTCTAATCAGAATATCATCACTGCTGGCAGAAAAAAGAGTCTGTGGAAAACTCAGGTTTTTAAGGGTGCACAACTGGTCACAGACAAGAGCCCACTACCAACAGAAATCAAGTGCTCAAACCAGCTCCCTCATTTTACAGAGCACAAATGCCAGCAGTAGCCACACTGAATTAACATAAGAAATAAAGCAACGAAGTTTCTCAGAACATTTAGCATCTGCAGCCTGCACCCCAGAAAACATTTAGTCCTTCAAATGGAAGCATATCACACCTAACATAAAACTCCATATTACACCAGTTTCAGTATCTGCCTGAACTTGCATGGAACACTTAAAAGTTATAATAGCACTTCTGCATTTGAACTTATTCTACCAGGACTGATTTTTTTCATTACATATTTAATATAATAAACTTAATTCCAAATATACTATGTTTATTCCTAACTAATAGTTCTATGGTGCTGATAATAGAACCTAGTAGTTCTGTTGTGTTCTTCCACAGTTTTCCCCACATTACAAATGCAAGCACAGTGTATTTAATTTGCCAAGGAACCCTCTTCACCAGGTGTATGTGTATATTTTTACATGCTCAAAAGACTATATTTTTTAAGTGGAAAAAGAACAAAAAATTTAGCTTGTAGTTTTAAAAACATAAGCTAATACTGCAGAATAGAAGACTCAAACTGGAAAAAAAGGAAGTCAATATTCTAAAAAGTAAACCCAGGGGACCTCAAGCACTGCACTTGCTCCATTTGCATTTGAAATAAACAGTTCACAACAATACCAGCAGAACATGGAACACTTTATAAACAGGCATAATAACAGGACCCAAGGGAAAAGCAGTTCCCTAGAAGTTCAAATATCCTCCATGGATGTGCAAGATCTCACCAAATTATAAATTAATCTAAAGGACCAAGAAGGACAAACTAACAGAATATTGTCTGGCCTTTTCAACTCTTTCATACAAATAGTGACCAAGTACAGAACACAAACCCTTTTCTGTACTTTGCAATCAACTAAAGCTGCTCTGCAGAAAGATGCTGCCTTTAGCCAGAACTGAGGATGACTCCTTGGCTTTGTTCAAATCAAGGATCTCACTGACTCCAAGAAAACTCCTGGCTGTGCCACGTGTCTTACACTGGGTCACCAGTTCACACTCTCCACATTTACCTCACTGCATTTGAATTTTGAAGTTCAGATTCAGACCAAGTCTGAGTCTTGGTGTTTTCAACAACTGTTCAAAACACCAGAACAGAACTGTTCAAAACACCAGAGCCTCTACAGAGCAGATTCACGTTTGAAGAGCCATGCCTGACTAGGGAGTTAACCACCTTCTAGTAGCACAGATGATCCTCATGAAGCAACAAAATCCAAGGCAGATGATTCTGTTGCAAACAAGCCCCCTCTTGAAAAACGGGTGCCATGCAGACACTCCAAACGAGGTCAAGAGCAAACAGGCCTGAGTTATATTAAGCATTAAACCACTGAGTCACCTCAAAAGCAGATGAAGGATGTATTTTTTAAAAAATAATCTTTTACTACCCTCGGTCAATCTATAAACATGTCTCAGAAATATTTGGTTTTTGAAGGTGGAATTAGCAGAAGTTGGCACCTGCAGAAAAAGAGAAAGGCACCACCAGCAAAAGCATAACAAGCCTTGAATTTTTTTTATGTTACACAACTTTATGGAAAACTTTGTAGCTTGCCAGTTCAGAGAATACATGAAACAGAAATAAAGCATTACACTGAAGCTAAACTCAGTGTGCCCTTAGGACTCTGATTCCATCAGAGAGCACAATATAAAAATTCTGTATGTATTCAAAGAAAATTTGTAAGAGAAAAGTGAAAAGGATTTTCTTTTCAACTACATCAGCTCACTTTGATTTATCTTCTATCATGAATGTATCATTTTAGCTTCCAGTAAAGACTGTGCCACACAACTAGCTCTTCAAAGGTACTTCTAACAGACAACATAAATTTCTCTTGCTTCTAACAGGCACAGAGAGGTCTCCTCTGCTGTAATATTCCACAACATGGAATGGAATGGTTTGGGTCAGAAGGGACCTTAAATAACATCTATTTCCAGCCCCCAACCATGGGCAGGGACACCTTCCACTAGAGCAGGTACCTCAAAGCCCCATCCAAACTGGCCTGGAACGCTGCCAGGGAATGGGGCACCCACAACTTCTCTGGGCAACCTGTGCTAGGGCCTCACTGCCCTCACATTAGAGAATTTCTTCCTAATATCTAATCTAAAGCTACCCTATTTCAATTTAAAGCCACTGCATCTTGTACTGTCAAGTGCTTCTTTTAAGTGCTCTGCTGCCCCCAGCCCACCTGCAGCTGGAACAAGGTTAATGCATGTGTCAGAGTGGAATATGTTCCCTGCTCCAGCTGAGGGGCTGATGAATACACCACTGCCCACACAACAATTGTCTGTTTGCATATTTTAAGAAATTCTATTCACCATATAACTTCATGAGCAGCAAGGGCAGGACTGGTAAGGAGAGGATGTTAACATAATTGCACTTGTAAGCAACATACTCTGTGCGCTCCAGCATGCTCAGGCTAACCACAAATGCATTTACATCTGCAATATTCTCCTGCAGCCACATGGGAGCCACAGGAGGCTGCACACTCAGGTGGGGGTGGCAGCACTCCATGCACTCCTAAAACCTTATGGCGCTCCAACATAAATTAAAGACAAGATCACAACTGTACCAACGTATGATTTAGAAGGCAACATTGTTATTATTATTCCTACTGATTAAACAATAACAAAGCTGGCCTGTGATCAATATTAAGATCAAAGTGAAGTTTCAAAAGCAAGAATATTCTGAGTCCACTGTCCAAACAAAACAACACTGCACCTCTAAAATATGAGTTACTGACGTCCTGTGTGATTTCTCACATGGTCTCACAGTAGGGAAATTGACCAATTGCTCTGGAGGGACTCAAAAAGTCCCTCTGACTTTGGAGGAGTACTTGCAGTACAGATGAACTAGTTCTTTAAGAATTTAATAGACTTCACTATCTGTAACAGTACCCAGAGAGGCTGCACACAGCCATTCCTTCAGACTCAAAAGTCTGTTTCCTACTGAATGAAACCACAACATGCAGCATCCAATTTATCAGAACAAGACTCTGGTGAAAGTAAGTAGGAGATAATTAGCACACAATGGAATACAAATGGAAAAACAGACATGAGGGAAAAGAAAGAAGATTTGAACATACATTCATGTTTCCACACCACAAAGGTGATTAAGATAATACTTACAGCCTTCTTTACAAAGACGTATTTTACTTTTAGTGCCCTCCACTAGTCATGACTACCAGAACATACACTACATCCATGCCCAAAGAAGAGAATTCCAAAAAAATCCCAAAAAAGTGGCTGTTCTCCTATACAGGCTTGTTTTGCACTCTTCAGAAAAATAAGTCCCAGAAATAGACTATTTCACAAGAAAGGTCTTAACATGGATTTGTATACTATAGAAGAGTAATTAACACATTCCATGCAAGTCTGCTATCAAGTGACCCAGCCATAGTGCTACATAAATCATTTAACCATGATATTTTAGAGTCTCCGACAAGGCTGAAAAACACTTAAAGCTAAATTGTGAAATTTTAATTCAAGAAATCTGTTTTTTCCCCAGACAACAGGGATGGCAAAGAAAACATGTTTCCCATGATTCCCTGTCCTGCTGAGCCAGGACAGCAAGTTCACAGGACACCGTGCTGCACGTCTCCCTTGTGCAGCCTGTATTTCCTTCCTGGAATTGAAATAGGAGAGACATGAGCCCCATCAAAACACCTCTATCAGATTTGAATAGTCCCGAGAACAATTACGAGGCTGTCAAAGAGGAAACTGTAACTGCTCTGTGTGCACACAGGGTGTAGTGCTGTATGTGCCTACAGAGGGCTGAGGGAGATGGGACAGCACAGGCACCGCCATGTGCTCCACTGGGAAAGCATGGGGCATGAGGAGCCAGGGAAAACATCAAAGTTACACACAGCACTGCTAACAGCCCAGCAAGGCAGCAGAATCCCAGTATGACAAGCAATACCATGAAATCTCATGCACACCTGATGGGAACAAGGTGCACCTGAGGACTGAGGTGTTCACAGAACCCCAGAATGGGTCACAGTTGGAAGGGACCACAGTGTGTCATCTGGTCCAACCTCCCTGATCAAACAGGGTCATCCCAAAGCACACGGCACAGGATTGCATCCAGGTGTTCTTGAATACCTCCAGGAAAGGAGACTCCACAGCTCCTCTGGGCAGTCTGTTCCAGTGCACGGTCACCTGCACAGTAAAGAAGTTCTTCCTCGTGCTCAGGTGGAGCTTCCTGTGCATCAGTTTCTGCCCACTGCCTCATCTCCTGGTGGCTGGCACCACCGAGAAGAGCCTGATCCATCCTCTTGGCACCTCACCTTTAGATACCTGTGCACATCAATGATGTCCCCTCGCAGTCATCCCTTATAGAAGCTGAGCACGGCTCTCGAGGTATTTGCACCGGTACCTGCTCCGAGAGCACTCCTACGGAGCGCGCCGCTGCCCTGCGTGCATTCACCGCATCTCCATCTTTCGCTGAAGGCACACGGGAGGAAAACCCTCCAGGGGGTCAGCGCTGGGATCCTCCAGCTCCCGCGGCACCTCAGCGAAGGTGCACTCGCCTCTCCGCCCACCCGAGACAGGCCCCCGGGTCCCTCCGGACACCGGGGCGAGGGGCAGGCAAGGACAGCGGGAGAGAGCGGGACAACCCGCCCGGGGACGGGGCTGGGGCACAGAGCAGTGACAGCTCAGGGAGGGTCCGCGGCGGCACCTACCGTGTACTCCCGCACTTGGCTGTGGAAGTTCTGCTCCCGGATCGTCACCTCGTCCGCTTCCATCCTTCATAGTACCGCGGCCCCCGCGAGCAATGGCGGCCGCCGCCGCCCCGCCTGCTCCTGCCCCGCCGGCGACGAGCGGGCCACCATGGCCGGAGGCAGCCCGGCTGCTCCCCCGGACCCCGGCAGCGGCTGAGGAGCCCCGGCTCCGCTGCTCTGTCCCCGTCCGGCGGGCGCGGAGGAGGAGGAGGAGGAGGAAGGGCGGGAAGCGCCGCCTCAGCTCCTCCTGCTGCGTCACCGCGCAGCGACCTCGGCGGGGGCGGGAGAAGGGGAGGGCGGGGTCAGAGCGCGGGGCGTGGCTTAAACTGAAGTGAAGGGCGGGCGAAGTCACGCTCAGTGGCGGGGCTAAAGGGACGGGAGGGGCGGGGCCAGAGCGGAGAGGGGCGTGGAAGGGGCGTGGCTTAAGGGGCGGGGCAGGGGCGGGGCTGTCTTTACCGGCAGGGCGGGGTGCCAGAATCATGGAATTGTGCGGGCAGGAAAGCCCCCCAGGATCATGGAATCCAGTCTATGACCCAACACCATCGCATCAACTAGACCGTGGCACTAAGTACCACGATGTCTTTCCTTCAACACTCCAGGGAATGGTGACTCCCCCAGCCCCCTGAGCAGCCCATTCCAATGTGTAATCTCATTATTCCCTGTTCCCTCTACATGCACGGGAATCTTATTTTCTTCTGAGTTTGCAAGTAGATCAATTGTCTAAATATACACAGAAGACTATTAATCTAGGACACACTATAAATTATAGATTGTGGTTTAGCAAATCAAACTTTTATTTCAGTCCAAGTATATATCATTAGACTAAAGAAGTTTCAAAAATAAGGATCATAGTTTTCTGCTTATTTACAACTGTTGATACATTTTACATGTTGTCAATGCAAATTATAATTCCAATTATATTAATACCCCAGTCTCTGGCCCATTTTCTGAGTTAAAAGCAGATGGTAAAGTATTTATGAAATTTTAGAGACAGAAAAAGTAACCTTTGACTGGTGTATTCCTTGTAGTCCTGAACGGATGCGGAAGGTCCTGCAGCTTCAGTATGGCCACAATTCCACCCTTGTTCTTTTGATTCTTGTGAAGACACAGACAAGGTATTTGCAGGCACAGTCATACCATGGATGTGACAGGCCAGAAATGTTCCTGTGCTCTCTCCTCTTGAAGCCCACTGCTCAAGGAGGGAGACTTTAGGTGTTCACTGAGGCTGTAGGAACAGAACACCATTAAGAACATAGTTGAAGGAGCAGGGAGCACAGTCTTGGAGCTGCTTCTTGGGAAAAGCTGTCCTACTTTACAGCTGTTTTCTGCACAGCACTTGATTCTGTTTGGTATTATTACTTCTCTGGGGTTTTCTTCTTCACCTATTCCCATTTATCTTCAATCTCCTTTTCTTCTTCACATACCGAAAGTGATTAAAGGATCCCTAGTTTCCAAGATGAATTTGACAAAGAATTAGGATTTTAGTTGAAGCCTAGTTCTGATTTTGACTAGAATTAGGCTAGTGCTGTTCTCTGCTCAGGAGCTGGTCCAGACTGAGCAGTGTTAGTGAAGGCAAGGTTACAGGTAGATAAAATATCTTTTATTATAACAAACACAGCTGGCAAGAAGGGACAACTGGCATGGGCAAACCTGACCCCAGGGAAACCAAACTCTCTTAGAGCTGCCTATAGAAGTATTGGAATAGAAGAGGCAGCATCCCAGCTCTCATCATCTTATATAAAAGACCACACAATAAATGACAATGGTACTGGAGCCAGGCTGTTAGGAACTGAGTGTTAGGCCTTCACTGGATTTGTGATGGAGACAGAAATGCTGACACCAGAGCAAACCTGCTCTAAGAACCTGGGAGACCAGATGGCCCAATCAAAGAGGAAGAACAGGAACAACCAGAGATTCAGCCAGCAGTCCAAGCCTGAGGTGAGGGTTAGTTCCTGAGCTACCTGGGAAATGACTCACCCACTGTCAAGAAAAAGCAATTCAAGCATTTCTAACATTATCTGCAGACATATTAAACACTGGAAGATTGTAAGGAAAATTAATTGTATTTTTGTAGCTTATAGAAATTGAGATTTAGAAGGCCTGAAGATTCTACTCCCACGTGGGCAATATGTGTTCTTTTTAATTTACTGAATTTGAAGTAAACCTAAGGAGGAGATATAGTACATAGTTTGTCTCATACTGTGGCCTGTCAAGTTCTTTCTTCCAGTTCTAGCAGATGAATCATCAGAAACAACATACACATTCATATTTGCTGAAAAGGCAGGGGAGGGGTGGAAATAGCTTCGATCCTTTCTTGGGCAGAAGTTACTGCTCAGTTCTGAGGTATCTACATCACAAAGGAAGGTCAGAGTAGCCACCACAGCAAAATCTATTTATACCAAAGGAAATTCAGTCTAAAGTAGGCAGCTCTTGCAAACTTATGCATGTATTGATCTGATGGGAGTGCAAAAGTAGTAATTTGAAGCATACTAGATGTAAAACTAGCAAAGCAAGTCTGTGGTACTTTACACCAGAGTGGTTAAAAGACCTCTAGGTGTTCCTCATCCATATCCCAGACAAAATGGGACAATGCTGGAGGGGCTGTCCTCAGCCATTCTTAGGACCCCCTCAGTAACCCTAAGGGACCTGGTGTACGCTATACATGATTTAGGTGTAAACAGGAAACTTTCTCACACTGGTAATGTGCACATACACACACACAAAAGCAATAAATAATAAATAAAACCCAGACTTCTTTTAAACTTACATTTGGTGATCCCTAATCCCTCTGCATAAAAAATGAGAAAATTGATGAGATTTTGCTCCATTTATTGCTTTTAAGCATAGTTTTAACACCATTTTTCAGCTCCAGAATGACCCAGTAAGTAACTGGAACCCTGAATGCCCAAGGAGGGTTTTATGTGCACAGGGTTACCTCTGAGATTTTCCAGAAAAAAAGTCTTGGGATATTAAAGCTAATAAAATTCATTAAAATTGTCAAAGATGGAAGTTTCTAAAGTTGGAACTATTTCTCTAGGAAGGTTCCATCAGAATTTGCCAATGGATTTTAAAGCACTCTTTAACTGTGAATGCAAAATTGGCACCATGCCTTTAAATCTAAATTTATCTCACGGCATTTGAGTAGGTGATACCTTCTTTTCAAATCATCCTTCAGACAAATGAAGCTTGGACTAAATAGAAAATAGGAAGTTATTCTTCCAGTTAGCATGACTACTTACATACTTATATTCAGGATATTACCTAAGAATTGATCAGACTGAAGCCCAAGCCCTCTTTAATATGGTTCCAAGAATGACCACTGACTTTTAAGAGAACTTTGGGTTCCAAAGTTCATGCCACAGGCGAGATCCATCACTTTATAGTCAAAAGCCAATTATGGAAGAGAAAAAGAAAGATTCAAAAGTTAAAATATCTTGATCATGGTATAAAAGAAACAAAATGCTATCATAATTGTGTACATTAAGTTTATTTATTAGGTGATTTTTTCAGTGTCTTATATTTTGTAAGGTAAAGCATAACAAGAGTTGCATTATAACTTTAGAAATCCAACTCAATCAGTCTTGGATCTGGATTCAGCTTAAAATATTGCTAACTTATACTTTCTATTTCTTGTTTTTTTTAGAAAAAGAAGGGTTTTTTTTTTTTTGTTCCAAATACTTTCAGCCTGTATTTTAATTGACTCAACCCAGTAACAATAACTCCCCAGCTAAATGCTGTATTATTGCACAATATATATACTTTAACTTTTTGAAACAGCCAAGGGAAAGAAATTTTAATTAAAAATTACAATGTCAGCATGAAAAAAGAGGACATAAACTAGTTTAGTATAGACTCATATAAGTATGTGATGAATTTTATATATATATAGTCATAAATGTATTGATGAATATATACTCCCCCAAAAAGAAGAAAAAAGTACAATCAAAGTGTTACCATTTTGAACAAGCTTTTAAAATGAACATTTTAGTAAAAATATACACTATTTCTAACTTAAAGTTGGTTCACTTGTAAAAAATTGAGATTGCTTTCAATAACAAGGAACTGGATTTAGTAATGAATAAAACCCCTTCAAAACCTTAAATTTCCTTCACTGACAGGAGCCTAGAGTCAGAAAACCTGCAGAGTTTATTATGGCAGGAGTTCAGTGCTGTCAGGTAAAAGAAACATAAGTCACATCATGAAGCTAGAACAGTTTCTCTTCCATATCTAGGCAACATGAAGTGACTGAAAGCTCATTTTGCCTCCATTCACCCTTAATGGGTCTTTCATGTCCCATTGGGAGCATTCAAAGCACTCCTCAAAGCAAAACAAAGCACAACTCCCACCACATTTCAGCTTCAACTTGATTAGGAATAAAATGAAAGGTAATATTCAAGGATATGCAGCTGCACCTGCAAGCCAAAGTTCACCTGCTGTGTAGATGTGAACGAGGCCAGGGCCATCTGTTCCATGCTGTGTGCCCATGGCTGTTTGGGCTGATTCTTCTAACAGGTATTAACTGGTAAAATTCTGGAACTGCTGTCTGGGTCAATGTTGTTACAGAAGAACCAAAGAACTAAACTTTAAAAAAAATAAGTGTCCCTTTCACCAGTCTATGTCTGGTTTTAGCTCAGAAATTAGTGTTAGACTCAATCAGCCTCTAAAAGGCATTCAGCTAGAGTAGATGGATGAAAAGAGTGAAAATTCATTACTTCTCCATATGGTGTGCTCAATATTTAATTCCTGCTAATCACAATTCTCCTCAAAATCTCCTTTTCAGTCAGTTAAAAAGATTTACTCTAAGTAAATTTACCCTTTGAAGATTTTTCTTAACCGTGAACTCTTTTTTTTCCTTTCATCCCTCAATTGTCTCCAAACTTTTAACCTTCTTATTAAAATGCAGACACGAGGACTGAAAGCAGTATTCTAGGCTCAGTTTCAGCAATTCTATGAA